CCTGCCGCCGCCCCGGCATTCGTGCTGCCGTGCTCTCGCCCGCTCCTCCTTTGTGGTGCCGCTGCCCCCGGCTCTGGTGCAGGGGCTCCTGCTCTCCGCCTCTCTCTGTGTCCTGCCAGTGGTTTTACCCTATGGTAGGTTACGTCATGCTGTTCTACCACAGGGTAGAACCACGGACGGGATGCCGGGGCTGCCTCTGCGTCTGAGGACTCCTGTCTCCCTCTGCGGCTGGGGGAGCAAAGCCAGGGCGGTACCCATCCCGTGCTGCTTTGAGCTTGGGGTGGGGCTCCCAGGGGGAGCCTGTGCGGGGAGGCTCAGGGTGTGTGTGCACAGCTGAGGGGGTGTGTGTACATGTACGACGGCCTGGTTGGGACTGAGCCACGTGGTGCCTGCCGGGATCCCCAGTGCTCCGAGCAGGGCCTCCAGCAAACCGGGGTGTTTTCTTGCTGGTGTCTCCAGAAGCCCTTCACAAACCACGCATGGCACCCCGCGGGCGGAGGACACCCTCACCAAGTCACACCAGGGCCCAACGCTTGCACCGGCACCCCGAGGAGATGGGCACCTGGTTTGTGTGGGGCGTGCTGTGGAGGCGCATGGCTGTCCCCTCCGCCGGGGCGCAGCCCCCCTGGGCGCCCTGGCTCCTTGAGCCGCTCATCACCGCGCTCCCCCTTCCTCTCACCCCAGGGAGTGGTTCTTCCTCCTGTCCCACGAGGTGCTCAACCCCATGTACTGCCTCTTTGAGTACGCTGGAAAGAACAACTACTGCCTGCAGATCAACCCTGCCTCCTCCATCAACCCTGACCACCTCACCTACTTCCGCTTCATCGGCCGCTTCATTGCCATGGTAAGAGCCCGGGGTGAGAGGGGTCGGGGAGGCGACGGGAGACAACACTCTTCATGTGTGTCCACCCCGCAGAGCAGGGGCTTTGCAGGGGACGGGGGTGGTCAGCGGGGCAAGGGGCAGCTCTGCATGCTGTGGCTGTGCTCGGCTCGGCACTGTCACCCTCCTTAAGCCCCCGTCTCACTCAGGTGTGGGTCCGTGGGAGACGGGCCATCGAGGGGGTGCTGCGGGGAAGGCTGCGGGCTGATGCATTTTAAATCTGGGGAATGGCCGTGGAGCCAGAGGGGACCTGGTTTCCCAGGGGCTGTGTGGCAGGGATGGCTCCAGGTCTTTGGCTGCCACCCCAGGTGCTGTCGGGTCTGCAGCTCCAAGGACTATTTTTAGCCCCAGCAGTGTGAGATTTTCCAGCTGCCCAAGCCCCAGAGCGGCTCCTCCCGTTCGTCTCGCATTCCCCGAGGCCAACGTACCGCAGGTTGCCCAGCCCTGGGCTGGCAGGAGGGCTGCCAGGGACTCCACGAGCTTGGGGAAGGGTCTCTGGCCCGTGGCCCTGTGGGGTGTGTGCAGGAGGCAGCTACGCGCTGCTCAGGTCCCCGCTCTGTCCTGCCCTGCCCTGCCCTGCGCGTTGCAGGATACCAATAAAACCCCAGACTATTACTCACTGCTGGGCCGTTCTAGACAAGCGTCTGCATTATTTTTGGCTGCCTTTGCCTTGGGGCTCCTGGAAGCCAGGGATTCAGGGAAGCCGCAGCACAGCTCTGTTTAAACAAGTGCTCTTAATAGAGCTGTGAGGGGAGAAGGAGACATGGTGGAATTTGCGGTGGGGAGGGGAGAGGGGCTGCGAGCACACCCCACACCAGGCAAGCCGCCCCCAGGCAGCACTGTCAGGGGGAGCCCACTCCTCCCCATCGCATTTGCCAGCCAGGAGTGAGTGCCGCAGCTCTGGGACCCCAGGAGCGATTCCCTTTCGCCCAGTGGTGGAGCATCATCTTGCTCCACGGGTCCGTCCTGGGGTCCCCCGTGACCCAGCGTCACCTCCCCGCCGCAGGCTCTGTATCATGGGAAGTTCATCGATACCGGCTTCACGCTGCCCTTCTACAAGCGGATGCTGAATAAGCGGCCCACGCTGAAGGACCTGGAATCCATCGACCCTGAGTTTTACAACTCTATCGTCTGGACCAAGTGAGTGCCCCGTGCTCCCTCCCGGCCCGGGGCCCATCCTGCTCCGGGGGAGGCAGTGCTCCTCCCCACGGCCCCTCGCTGCTGCCGGGTACCTCCGTCAGAAACCACATCCCGGTGTCCTCCCACAGGGAGAACAGCCTGGAGGAGTGCGGCCTGGAGCTGTACTTCATCCAGGACATGGAGATCCTGGGCAAGGTGACCACCCATGAGCTGAAGGAGGGCGGCGAGAGCATCCGGGTGACGGAGGAGAACAAGGAGGAGTACATCATGTGAGTGACTGTCCCGAGGCCCCCGCCGGGCGCCCTTCCCCGCCAGCTGCAGGGCAGTTCTGGGGTGGGAACATGGGGCTTGGGACGTGGCCGCTTCCCTGGGCTACGTGGCCTGTGACAAGTATGGGCTGGCGCGGTCGGCCGAGCTCCGCTGCGGTCTGGCTTGCTGCTGGCTGGGCAGTTGCCAGTACTTTCAGGAAAGAGGAGAGGGGAGAGAGGGTGAGACTTCTCTCCCTGTCCCGTGGCTGCTCACCCTGCCTGTCCCCTGCTGGGCTGGCTGGGGGCTGCCAGGGCTGTCTCCTCTTGCTGATGGTAGGCTCTGGCCAGGGGATGTGGCTTGCACCCCTCGACCTCCCGAAGGCTGCTGGTCTGTGCTCAGGGCTGTCTGCTGCTCACGGGTTCGGAGGCAGAGAGAGAAACCCACTAGTGGGAATTGAGGGGAGCCCTGGTGATTTGCAGGAGCCCCTCTCCCCCTCCCCACGCACCCCTGCGGCTCCCAGGGCCCCCCCCCCCGGTGGGAGGG